AGTGTCCACAAATTCCAATCTCTTTAAAAGGTATACAAGGTTCTTTATAATTTGCTCCCTACTTAACTCTTTAGTCTGATTTTTTTTTTACTTTAATTAGATCATATTCTCCCATACTTTATTACTTGAAGTCTCTGAACAAGTCATATTCTTTTTAGGCCTTTCCTGCTTATTTTCCAGACTGTTAGACATTGCTTCTCTCTCATAATATTTTTCTTTACCAACCTCTATTACAGTATTTACCACATTGTATTATAATTGTTGACTCCTCCTGTAGACTTTAGCTTTTAGCTAGTCGAGGTAAGAATTTTATGGTTCATCTTGGTGCCCCATTATTCAGTGCCTGGTACAGAGTAGGTATTCAGTAAAATAGTTATTAATGAATAAGTGGATAGAATTAAAAGAATTATGTTTTTCACTAACTTTCTATTGATTTTCTATTGATAGATGACAGAGCACGTAGATCTCCAAGAAAACTGCCTACTTCATTAAAAAAAGGAGAAAGGAAATGGGCTCCTCCAAAATTTCTGCCTCACAAATATGATGTGAAACTACAAAATGAAGATAAGGTTAGTTGGCACTTTATATTTATCTCTTACATGTAGTACATGTTTTTTACTTTTTTATGTTTTAGGCGAGGCAACCCTTGGTTGACCTCACAGATTGCAAGGACCTTGTCAGCTTACAATCCCTTATTTTTTTATTTTTTATGCCCACAGCACCTGGTCTTCCTAGGTGGTCTTCCATCCAAGTACTAACCAAGCCCAACCCTTCTTAGCTTCCGAGATCAGATAAGATCGGGCTTGTTCAGGGTAGCATGGCCATAGACAGTACATGTTTTTTAAGAAAATATAGGGCTAGTTTTCTCAGAGAAAATGTACTAAAAAATGTAAATGAATGTGTTTCTATAACAAATTCTGAGTGGTTTTCTAGTCTTAATAATTATGACTTCAAATTGATTCGTTTTTTCTTTCCTAGAAGATTACATGCCTTTTTTTAAAAAAAATAGGAATTATTAGGGTTAAGAATAATTTGCATTTGAGCTTCAAACTTAGTTTGTTTGAAAGATAAGAATCTATTCTCAGAAATTACAAACTTCCTGAGGTAATAGCTCTTCCCAGTTAAAAGTAGAGCAATTTTAATGTAGTTAAATACAGAAAATGAATCAATACTAATCTGTGCTTTTACAAGGAATCTATGGAGATTTACTAATCTAAAATAGTAAATACCTTTAAAATAACAGTACTGTGTTTTATCGATTCTAAGATGTTCATATTTTTAAAAACATCTTAGCATATATCTTAAAATCAGTTGGCAAGAATTTTTTTCTCAGTGGTACATAAAATGATGTCTTTTATTAATAAGATCTCAGATTCCATGAAATATGGCATATTACTTTCAGATACTCACATACCTGTATGTAAAATCTTATAATTAGAAAGAAGCAGGATGGGCAGTTGGCTGTGGAAGGCAGCTGCACATTTTTCTTCATGTTTAACTGTTTTGTAGAAGAAACAGGTAAGGCCTGCGAAATAATAATTCTGTCAAAGAAGATTGGGAAGGATTATAACCCAGATCTTTTGCTGCTTTAGAGTGTTATTTTTTTTCCCACCTCACAGTGTTGACAAGTCTTATTCCATTTTGACTCAGTAGCTGCATGGTGTCCATTACATAGATGTCTTTTAACTTTAAAAATGAATCTCTTTATGATATGCCTTTATATAGTCCCCTCCCCTTTTTTGCTTTTGTAAGTAGTTGATGATGATTGTCCGTTTACTAAATTTTAACAAGAGGAATTGCTGGTTCAGTGGGTATACATAGTTAGTGATCTGAAGACATAGCTGGATTGTTAGGATTTCTTTATATTTGAAAATTGGACGTTAAATACAATTTTTTACTAAGTTTTTTAATCTTTCATTCAGCAAGGTAGCTAGTTAAAACATTATTTCTAGGGAGTCTCAACCATTTCCTTAGTTATCATTTATATTATTGATGAATATAAATTTTGTTTCACATGTAGTAAATAGTGTTTATAGGAAGATAGAAAATACAAATAAGAAAAAAGATACCTCTAACCTCATGCTCAGAGATGATAATTGATGAATATAGATGTAGTTAATGGTGGTTAGCTTTTAAGGAATATTCATATTATTTTGTAGCTTGCTTTTTTCATTTGCTGTCTGGTGAGCATCTGTATTGTCATTACATTTTCTTCCAAAATAATATTTTCAAGTTGTAGTGTATATGATAGTCACCAGGAGAGTTTATTAAAAATGTAGATTCCCAGGTTTTATTGCCAGAGATTCTTCTGATTTGATAAGTTTGGGGTGAGGCCTATGCATTTGCATTTTAATTCGCACTGTAGATTATTCCGATAATTTGTCCTGATAAATGTTTTTCCTCCATGGCTGCATGGTGTCCATTACATAGATGTCTTTTAACTTTAAAAATGAATCTCTTTATGATATGCCTTTATATAGTCCCCTCCCCTTTTTTGCTTTTGTAAGTAGTTGATGATGATTGTCCGTTTACTAAATTTTAACAAGAGGAATTGCTGGTTCAGTGGGTATACATATTTTTAGGGCTTTGATACATATTGACAAATTGCTTAGGGATACCTTTAACATTCTGTCTCTGAAAATTATTCTACTTTTCCTTTCATCTGGTTTATAGCCCTGTTTTATAGAAGGAATTATGATTTTTCTGGAGAGAATATAAATCTTTGTTCTCATTGATTAATTGCTTTTTACCCAGTGATGAGTTACTTATATTTGTTAACCTAGATCATCAGTAATGTGCCAGCGGACAGCTTGATTCGTACAGAACGCCCACCAAATAAGGAGATACTTCGATATTTTATACGGCATAACGCCTTACGGGCTGGCACTGGTGAAAATGCACCTTGGGTGGTAGAAGACGAATTGGTGAAGAAATATTCCCTGCCCAGCAAGTTCAGTGACTTTTTACTTGATCCATACAAGGTAAGGTCACTGTTAATTTTTGGACAGCAGGATAGAGCACTATATTAGACGAATTTATTTTCTTAGATGGCTCCAATAAGATTAGATTTATAGCACATTTTGAACTCTCACATCACATAATGCATTAAAAAAATGTTAGGTTTATCTCACATAGGTTATGATGTATGGGGGTCTGTATGGGGGAGGCCACATTGACAATTTCCCCTATATGGTTGCATAATTATAAAAAAAAAATTACTACACGCATATGCTTTTTTGGCTCAGATCTTTCTTGGAATGAGGTATGGTATAAATACAAAAAATATTTTGAATATTGATTTCTAAACATGAAAACTGATTTTGTGTATCAGAAAAGATGATTAAATGTACTGGCATCCTTGAAAAGGACTTAGAATTTCTGAGTATTACTTCGTGTGAGAGATTATTAGAAAATGTAGAAAATTTAAATTTCCCTCTTAAAAACGTGTTTTTTCCTTTATCTCATTTGATCTTCAAAACATTCTTCTGAAGTTGCATGGGATGTGTGTGTGTGCGTGCGTGTGTGTAAATCTTACTTACCAGATGGGAAATGGAGGCTAGTCTAATTAGAAGCGACAGAAAATGAATGGCAAAAGCCAAGACATTGGCCTCGGATTCCCTCCCCTTTAATTCTCCCCCCTTTATTTCTCCCCCCGCACTTCCACCCCTGACCTATGGATGTTGCCATCTCCCCTTAAGAACTAGATCTCTGAAGGCGGGGCATCTCGTCTCACACACCTGGCACCCCAGGGGCCTGGCGCACCCAGGGTATGGTCTGTGGCTCCACCTGGGGCGTGAACCCAGACTTTTTGCGTGTAAAGCAAATGTGCTAAGCACTATACTCTGCAGCCATCCCCTGGCCTCGGATTTCTAATTGTCTTTTTCTATCTCAGGATTTCTCCAGTAAGATTTTTTAATGTAGGTTATGAGAGTATTTATGCATCTTTGGTGGTAAATTTACTTATTTGTATACTGATGTTTTCATCTTGGTCTCTGGGCCAGAATGAGACCAGAAGAGGGCTGCTGGTCCATTAAAACTAAGGGTTCCAGCAACCCCCCTTCCCCCCCTTTTTAATTGTGAAATACTAAGGCTATTTTGAGTCATGTAATTAAATCACCTTAGATATCTTAAATTGATTTTGATGACAAAAGTAATATTGAGAAATGATTTTATTTCTTCAAACATTGATAAAGACCTCTAACCATAGTTGAGCATTTAACATGTTTTCTTATTTGAGATAAGCATGATCAAGCATTATCTTTCATTATGCTCTTTAAATTTTTATTAGTTGTATAAAAAGAAAAATTCAGGAATTATTTTTTTCTAGATCAGGAGTAAATTTTCCATGGCACTTTAGTAAATCTAAATTTGTTCCTTAATATTTTCATTTACTGAGGGGAAATTTAATTCATTGTTATTTCATTGCTGTAGTTTTTGAATTGATACAGCTTTTGGTAGTTTTAACTTGAAATAACTATATGTATTGCATGAGAATCCTATATAAAATCATTTTTGATTGAGTTTTAGACTTGTTATCATTTGAGTCCTTTAATATTTTCCTCTTTAAATTTTATAGTTGTCTTTTAATGTATTTTAGTTTAATGATTCAAGTGTGTTAAATGAAATAAAGATTAAGAATTTATGGATAAAAGGTCTTTGGGATTTATAAGAATAAAAAAGCTGATCTTTACTTTTTGTAGGAGCCAGAGACTACAGTTCCAGGAAATAGCTTGAAAAGCAATTTCTGAAAATGGCTACTCAAATTTCCTATTGAGGGCCTAAAATATTAACTTAATGAAATTTGGCTGTAATTCAGATTGAGTCTTGAACATGCAAGTTTGTGTAGACTAAACTGCTATAAGAAGACAGTGGTTCTACCTAGTAAGAGAAATTGAGACTCTTGTAAAATACTAATCTACAAAATTAAGAGCACATACTTATCTTTTTATTTATTTTTCCTACCTTAAACAATGATTTCTTATTCCCCAGTACTATTTGATATTTTACCGAATTTTGTCTTCTGAGTTTTACATAAGTGTTTTTTTGTTTATTCGTAAAATTAGTTTTCTTTAAGACCTTTTGGTATCAGCCAGGACAGAATATAGTAAAGGCATAGATAAATAGACCATAAAGCAGTGCTTTGGATTCTTTCCTCAGCTAAAGAAAATTTTAAGTAATGCATTGAAAATTAGAGCTGATCACATGATCTGTCCCAAAATCAGTAGGTTAAAACATTTTTTTGTCTCTTTGTCTTCTCTTTGTGTTTTGTAGAATTTAATGTTCTACTAGGCTGCTGAATACAACTGTGGAGAGATGAGATCTAGAGAGATGAGATCTGGAGAGAGGAAGCAAGTTCTGAGTAATAGTTTTAGGAAAGGGCTGATGGGGAGAGCTTGGGCGTGAGAGAAGAGAGTGTTACCTGAGTAGGGCGTGGTGTGATGATGAGGGTGTGTTTGTGGTCTAGTAAACTCTAGAATATAAATTACAGATACTCTTACTCATTTTATGTCCTGTGATGTTTCACATAACTGTAATGGGAACATAGCTAGTGAGTTCATTTCTTTAAGAAGTTCTGTTCCTCAAGAAAAATGCAGCTGTGGTTGAGTTTAGGGATAACAATTTTTTGTAGGCCAATTAATGACTTGGAGAAATGATTTACAGGGTAATTGAGTGATAACTGTCATCTAAGATGAAATCAGCTTAGTTCATTTTCTATTCTAATACATGCAGCTCTAGTGTTTTGTTATTCTCTTGGTAATATTTGAACTCTAATTTTGGACTGCTGTATCCTACTGAGGAAGCTTTTGGATAGAGATGTAACAAGAAAATAAGACTTTTGTTTGACATTTGGAATCCTGAAATAATTTGGACTGATTTAATTTGGCTCTTAATACATTTTAAAAACATTTTATTTTGAAATCATTTCATATAGAAAAGTTGACAAAAATACTATAAATAATTTCCTTTCAAGTAGATCGTACTTTTTCAGTCGATTCCTCAAACGTTAACATTTACATTTGTTTTGTTATTTTCTCTCTATATACACATACACAAATCATTTTTTTTTTTTTTGAGATATTTGAGAGTAGATGATAAGACAGGATGCCCTTTTATAAAATACTTGAATATGTGTTGTCTAAAGACAAGGGTATTTTCTGTCTAACCTTTTTTAAATTTAAGAAGTAAAGAAAAATAATAAAAAGACAAGGATATTTTTAATGTAACTGTAGTACAGTTAATAAAATCAGTAAATTAACATTGAAACACTACTATTATCTGATCTATAGTTCTTACTCAAATTTTGCCATTTATCCAAATAAATCCTTTAAAAAAATTTTTGGTTTTAATAGGATCAAATATAGTATTATGTATTTACATGTTGTCTCTTGAGTATCCTCTAATCCCTTTAATCTGGAATAATCCCTCAGTTTTTCTTTGTCTTCTAAAAACCTTGACATTTTTTAGGAATACAAGCCAATTTTTCCAAAATGCCCCTAAATTTGGGTTTATTTCTTCATGATTCAATTTAGATTATGAATTTTTGGTAGAAATACCACAGAAATGATGTTATGTTCTTTTCAGTGACATCAGAAGGTACATGATGTAATTTTGTGTCATTACTAGTGATAATTATATATTTTTAGAGATGTTTCTTCTAATAACTGATGTTTCAAATAAATTTTGAGAGCCCTAAGATTTTTTTTTAAATTTTGGCTCTAAAGTTTGTTTATATGAGTTGGAGACGAGAGCAGAAGTGCTTTAAAAAATTAACTTTCAAAACACTGAAAAATATTTTATAGTAACATTTCACAAATTTGCTGATAAAGGCATCTAGACTCAGACAAACCCACTATATGAATGTTGCCTTAAAACTCCTAACATGATTCCTTGGGCAGTTAAGAACAGTGAATGAAAAATCCATATAGACAGCCAAAAATTTCTAATTTAGGGTTCTTGCTGTTTACTATTAAGTTAAATTTAGCATCTGAATGAGCTACTATAAATAAAATTTCTTTATTTTTATCTTATTTATTAGATTTCCTTATGCGTGGTGGCGGTTTGTTCCAAGTGACAAGGAACAAGTATAGAAGAAGGGCTTGTTAAGTGTAAGCTGACTTATTCATTGTAGACCCTGTTTATACCTCTTCTACTGCCTTGGTTCTCTGAGTTTGTTTCTCTGATTATATATTATTTTTCTTACAGCCTCTCATATTGCTGAGACAGGTATTTTTTACCTGTTTAGCAGTTAGGAATGGCTTTTGCCAAAAACTGTAATACTGCTAATCCAGATGTCCGTTCTTTTCTCCCTTCCTATGGACTACTCTAGTAGATTACTTATGCTGAATGGGGATAGGGGAGATCCTTAGCACATAAGTGGTTTTATACTTTTTCAGATCCCCCTGAGTCCAGCCATGTTGGCTCCCATTTGGCTGTGACTGCCCAGCATGCCCTATGCTGAGATGATCCAGTTACTGAAGGACTGCTCACGCTGGGAGCTGGCCTGTTGGGAGGGGGTTGGGTGAGTTAATTTATTTCATTTTTAAGAGAAAAAGAATTATACAGTGTGGCTTGGCAAAAACCACACCTTATAAATAAAAAAGAGTAGCTGGACCCTCTCATGATTAAACCATCCCAGCTCTTTCTTGTATCATTTTGCATAATGCAATGCTTCTAAGTAGAAAAAATTTAAAGAAACTTATGCTAAATTTGAGTGACTTTTAAAATAGAAACATAATCAGTAAATTAAGAAGTGGCCCAATTATAATAGACCCTATTAAAACATATCTATTTAAAATGGTAAAAATGAAACTTACTCTTCTTTATTTAGTGAAATTTAGTGATAAATTTCATTTTAGAATGACTTAAGTCTAACTTATCCTGAGCATTAGAAAAAGTATCAGTCTATTTTGTCTGTACTCTGAAGATTTTCTAAGACTAGCTAAGGAGGAGAGTTAACTCTTGGGAGGCACATATTTGTCTTTAATTCCTGCCTGGGTCGTGTTGGGTCTAACCCTATGATTTGTAGGCTTATTTTAAAATATGGTTTTCTTTGGTACTCTTACTGTCCTCGAATCTTAATAAGTTATTTTTGCTTATTCTTTTTAATCTTTTGAAATTTGTTTCTGGGGAATGAGAACTGAGAAATTCCGCTTCTTCTGGGGTTAGTGTCCCTTGAGTCACTGATAATGTTTATAGTCTGTAAATTATGAAACCTGTTTATCAACCCATACTGAGGATGATAATTGAGGAACAACCCAAAAACAGCCAGCTAGAAGAACAATAACTGGCAATTGCCTGTAATTCTTAAAGGGCAGATTGGCCTTTAAAGTTAGCGAACTTAGCCAGAAGAAGGGCTTGTTAAGTGTAAGCCAACTTATTCATTGTAGACCCTGTTTGTACCTCTTACACTGCCTTAATTCTCTGAGTTTCTTTCTCTGATTATATCCTTAATATTTAAATCTTCTTTGGTATTGTAATACAGCTTATTAAATTTTACTACACCTGTTTGTTTACTTTAAACAAGAGCATAGGTGTCTGTATCATCCCTGGGATTTATTTCACAATAGCCATTTACCTATTGCCTTTTTAAAGGGGCTCATAATTTCATATTCCATAGTCTTTAGCTGTTTCCTTGTCTCATTCCACAGTAACCTGTCTTATCCACTGCCTGTAGATTACTTCTTTGCATGTTGCTCTTATCAAGTTAGTTCCTTCCACTCAAAAACCTGAAGTTTTTTAGAATTGAGTGTTCTAGAGGTTATCTAGTCTTTTCTCCTAATCACTTGAAGGAATACTTTTTTTGAAATTAGTTGTACTTTTTCATTGGTTTTTATTTCATTTAATTTGTGTTTTAGCTGCCAGGTTTTTTTTCTTTGTAATTATATTCTTTAAAGCATGGAAATCAAATGTTTTTCTGTTTCTTTTTAACACACATTTAAACAAACAATATTTTTATGACTGGTTGGCTGGTTCTAACCTATTAACTTTCTATATGATGGGGATAAGGTTGATGTTTGAGGAGACAGGAGAGGATGTGTGTCTTAGGAAAGTGGGAACGTGAATGGACTAAGAATATACTGTGATTACTGGGTGGCATTCAGGACCCACCCATTTGAGCAACCTGGTTATGAATTTAAGAACACACACTGTCACTGTATCTTTTATTCTAGTCATATTTAAGCCAAACATGGGCAGGCCAGGAGTAACTAGGTATAATAGAGCAAGGGAGACAAGGGAACTGTAGCTTTATGCAAGACTGCTTACAGTGATTGACTGTGGGATTTAATCTGGGTAAGGACAAGGAAATGAGCATGGTGAAAATGTGATAGAATTAAAAGATTTAAGGTCTTGGTGGGATTGAAGGATTGCAGAGTTGGGGTGTTAGAAGGTGTGACTTAGAAAGATGTGAGGGAATGATCAAAAAGAATTACATGAAATTGAGAATTTAGAGGGGTTATAGTTAATGTATTCATGGGAATGAGTTTCTGAAGTGTAGGTAGAGGACAAAGGGGAGTTTGAGGAACTAGGAGGCCAGGGTCACTAGGGCCCCTTATTTGTTTTTATTAGCTTGCACTGCTTTTTGTTGTTGGTATACTCACTGATACTTTTAATAAAGAAATATACTTCTGAATTTAGACAAACATACTTAAACAGTAAACTTTCTCCTTTAAAGCATAGAATACCCCCAGTTGGAACAAAGGCTAAAAGATAAAAATCTAGTCCTGTCTCAGGAACAATGTTGCTGTTATCTAAATCTAGTATCCTTAATCCGGGATCCATGGATGGACTCTGAAATTGTATGCTTAGTTTTGTATGTTTTTGAGGAAAGGGTTCATAGTTCTTTAAAGTATTTAAAAACTGCTAATCTGTGTATAAACAGAAAGCTAGTTACATAGCAAAAATGTCTAATTAAATTAGAGTATAGATTTTTAAGGATGGTATCAAGAAAATTTCGGTATTGCTAAAACATTAACATTTATATTTTTGTTTTTTCAGAGACATAGTATCTATGAAGAAAAATGAATATGTAGTTTTACCTGAATAGCGGATACAGGGCCTCTAGGATGCTAAAATACTGCTTTTTTAAATTAGTTTTTAAAATTAATTTTGCTTCTCTTCTTAAATTCTAGTACATGACTCTCAACCCTTCTACTAAGAGGAAAAATACTGGATCCCCAGACAGGAAGCCCTCAAAGAAATCCAAGACGGACAACTCTTCTCTGAGTTCACCACTGAATCCTAAGTTATGGTGTCATGTACACTTGAAGAAATCCTTGAATGGCTCACCACTCAAAGTGAAGAACTCAAAGAATTCCAAATCTCCAGAAGAGCATCTGGAAGAAGTGATGAAGATGATGTCACCCAACAAGTTACATGCTAATTTTCACATTCCTAAGAAAGGCCCACATGCCAAGAAACCAGGGAAGCACAATGACAAACCTTTGAAAGCAAAGGGCAGAAGCAAAGGCATCCTGAATGGACAGAAATCCACAGGGAATTCCAAATCTCCAAAAAAGGGCCTGAAGACTCCTAAAACCAAAATGAAGCAAATGACTTTGTTGGATATGGCTAAAGGCACTCAGAAGATGACACGAGCCCCACGGAATTCTGGGGGTACACCCAGGTCCTCTAGTAAACCTCATAAACATCTGCCTCCTGCTGCCCTACACCTTATTGCCTACTACAAAGAAAACAAAGACAGGGAGGACAAGAAGAGTGCCCTGTCCTGTGTTATATCCAAAACAGCTCGTCTCCTCTCCAGTGAAGATAGAGCTCGTCTCCCGGAAGAATTGCGAAGTATTGTTCAAAAACGCTTTGAGCTTCTAGAACACAAAAAGAGGTGGGCCTCTATGTCTGAAGAACAACGCAAAGAATATTTGAAAAAGAAACGAGAGGAACTGAAAGAAAAGTTAAAAGAGAAAGCCAAAGAGCGGAGAGAGAAAGAAATGCTTGAGAAGCTAGAAAAACAGAAGCGGTACGAGGACCAAGAGTTAACTGGCAAAAACCTTCCAACATTTAGGTTGGTGGATACCCCTGAAGGGTTGCCCAACACACTCTTTGGGGATGTGGCCATGGTGGTGGAGTTCTTGAGCTGTTATTCTGGACTGCTCTTACCAGATGCTCAGTATCCTATTACTGCTGTGTCCCTTATGGAAGCCTTGAGTGCAGAAAAGGGTGGCTTTTTATACTTAAATAGAGTGTTGGTCATCCTCTTACAGACCTTATTACAAGATGAAATAGCAGAAGATTATGGTGAATTGGGAATGAAGCTGTCGGAAATCCCTCTGACTCTGCATTCTGTTTCAGAGCTGGTGCGGCTCTGCTTACGCAAATCTGATGTTCAGGAGGAAAGTGAGGGCTCAGACACAGATGATAATAAAGATTCAGCACCATTTGAGGACAATGAGGTACAAGATGAGTTCCTAGAGAAGTTGGAAACCTCTGAATTTTTTGAACTAACATCAGAAGAGAAGCTACAGATCTTAACAGCACTCTGCCACCGGATTCTCATGACATACTCAGTGCAAGACCATATGGAAACGAGGCAGCAGATGTCTGCAGAGTTGTGGAAGGAACGGCTTGCTGTGTTAAAGGAAGAAAATGATAAGAAGAGAGCAGAGAAACAGAAACGGAAAGAAATGGAAGCCAGAAATAAAGAAAATGGAAAAGAGGAGAATGGGTTAGGCAAAACTGATAGGAAAAAAGAAGTTGTGAAGTTTGAGCCCCAGGTAGACATGGAAGCTGAAGACATGATTAGTGCTGTGAAGAGCAGACGGCTACTTGCCATTCAGGCAAAGAAGGAACGGGAAATCCAGGAGAGAGAAATGAAAGGTAAAAGCTCATGTTGAGAGAAAAGGGGAAGCCTTGAGAAGGTAGTAAAAGTAAGGAAATTACTGAGGTAACGGTAGAGTCTCTTATTTGTCATAACTAGTTGTTTATGTAATACCACAGACCTTACTATGTATGTAATGTTCTAGCATGAGTGTTCAGCCTGACATTCTATAATTAATGATAGTTTGGCTTAGATTCATGTGATAACATCTTTTCTGGGTTTTCTGGTTTGGACCAGATCCACAAATAGGCGTAGTGAAAATAATGTATGACTTGGGAATTGCTAATATGGGCTAAAACCCTGCCTTGAGTAGCTGTATTTCTCTGGGCAAGTTACTTATCTATGCCTCAGTTTATCATATGTTTGTAAAGACTTGTAACAATTGAATGACAGCGTATTTGAAGCCTTCAGCACAGTTACCAACTTAGTTGTTAATTTTTCCCCTATTAAGAAGAACATAAAAATTTTGGGCTTTGATAGCACTGTGAAATCTGAACTTTAAATAAACAGCTTTGTTAAATAATTCATAAACCATGCAGTTCTTCCATTTCTGATATACAATTTAGTATTTTTTAATACAGTTATGTATAACGACCACAATTTTAGAACATTCTTATTACCTCAAAAAGAAGCCCCATACCCTTTAGCTATCATCACCCCACCCATCCCGCCTCCCCAGTCCTAAGCAGCCACCAGTCTACTACCATGACTGTAAATTTGCCTGTTCTGACATGTAAATGGAATCTTTTAATAAATATGTAGTCTTTTATGACTGATTTCTTTCACTTACAGTGTCTTCAAGGTTCATCCATATTATAGTGTGTTTCAATAGTACTTCATTCTTTTTAATAGCAAAATAATATTCTGTTGTTTGGATATACCATATTTTGTTCATTCATCAGTGATGGACATTTGGTTTGTTTCCACCTTTTTGGCTATTATGAATAATGCTGTTATGAGCATTGGTGTACAAGTTTTTGTGTGGATATATCTTTTCATTTCTCTTGGGATTCCTAGGAATGTAATTGCTTGGTCTTATTGTAACTCTGTTTAACTGAGGAACTGCCAGACAGTTTTTCAAAGTGACTGCACAATTTTACATTCCTATGAGTAATGTATGAGGATTCATTCTCATTTCTCCACTTGTCTGCATCCTTACCAACACTTGTTATTGGGATTATAACCGTCCTAGTGGTTGCTAATTGGTATCTCATTGTGGTTTTGATATGCGTTTCCTTGATGACTAATGATTTCTAGCATCTTTTTATGTGCCTACTGGTCATTTGTATATCTTCTTTGGAGAAATGTTAATTCAGATCTTTTGCCCATTTTCAAATTGGATTGTCTTGTTTTATTGAGGTAAGTTTCTTTATGTAACCTAAATACAAATCCCTTTCTTATCAGATATATGACTTGCAAATATTTTCACCTATTTTATGCACTGTCTTTTTACCTTCCTGATAGTGTCCTCTGAAGCACAAATTTTTAAACTTTGACGAAGTCCAGTTTATCTATTTTTTTCTTTGGTTGCTTGTGGTTTTGGTGTCATATCTAGGAATCCATTGCCAAATCCAAGGTCATGCAGATTTACTCCTATGTTTTCTTTTAAAAGTCTTATAGTTTTAGCTCTTACCTTTAGGTTTTTGATTCATTTTGAGTTAATTTTTGTGCACGGTATGAGGTAAGGGTCTAACCTCATTCTTTTGCTTGTCGCTATCCAGCGATATCCCAGTATCATTTGTTGAAAAGATTATTCTTTCCTCTGTTGAATGATCTTGGTGCCTTTGTCAAAAATCATTTGACTATAGATGTATCGATGTATTTCTGGACTTTCAATTCTATTCCACTGATCTATATGTCTATTCTTATACCATATTATGGTGTCTTGATGACTGTTACTTTGTAATAGTTTTTGAAGTTGGGAAATGTAACTTATTCTTTGTAAAAGATTGTTTTGGGTGTTCTAGGTCCATTGCAACTCCACAGTAATTTTAGAATTAGCTTGTCAATTTCTACAAAGAAGCCACCTGGGATTCTGATAGAGGTTGTTTTGAATCTATAGATTAATTTTGGGATCTGTAGGTTAAATCTATAGATCTAATAGATCTATTGCCATCTTAATGATATTTTGTTTTCTGATCCATGAATATGTTTTCCATTTATTTAGATTTTGAATTTCTTTGAACAATAGTTTGTAGTTTTCAGAATATAAAGTTCGTACTTCTGTTAAATTTATTCTAAATAGAGCTTGACACCCAAGGGTTCTACTTTGCTGTTCTTTATTCTATGTTTGTATCTCTCGTCTAGTATCCTGAGAACCCTGGCATTCATCCATATCAATATTTATTTATTTGGTCAGTCTTACAATGTACACAAAATTACTTTCAGAATTGCTATTATCTTACAGTAAACCTACAAAGTATATTAGTTTTTTTTTTAAGGCTATAAACTATTTTGATCACTGTTACAGTTTCCAACTTTATGAAAGTTACCAGCTTATGAAGCGAAGATGGTAAAAACCATTTACTTGTCAAAGTTGGATGCTAAGGATTAGACAGACATATCTAGAAATAGTCTTAAATTATGTGTGAGAGGTTTTAAGTCAAACAACTTGAGTAGTTCTTTCATTAGGAAGTATGTAATATTTCTTTTAAAACAGACTTTAGGTTATACCATTTATGGCCATTGAAATGTTTTTACATATGGATGCACACTGTATGTGTATATATATACTTGCCAGTTTGAAAGACAGTATAATTGTATTCCATAAAAAGCAACATGGAGGTTAACTTTATTTATATCATACTTCAGCTGTGTTTTACCTGAAATATAATGATTTCTTTTTCAGTTTCTGAAGTGTGACTCTGTATATTACAGTTAACATAGGAGAAAGGCAAGGTAGACGATATTCTATTGATATAGAGAAACGGGGCAAAGAATATTAATATTTTGTCAATACCAGTATTTGAATTAGAGTTCAGGGCTTTCATATCTAGTTTAGTGCTGTAACTTCTGCATTAGATTTGGTCTTTTGATGACTTGCCCTAGTTTGTTTGTAGCTGCAGGAGAAGGAGCTTTTTCTTTACTGTGATTCAGCCATTATTTACCTTTGTGTACTGATCTCTACTGAAATCATTATTGTGAGCATAGTTTCATTCAGGCTAGAAAATTGTTTATTAAAGGTAACATGCCATGTTGGATTTAAATAAATGAAATTCGTCTTAACGTTTTTAAAGTAATACTGTTAGACTGTTACATTTTCCAGAGTCTCATCATATTGTAGATGTTTAGTTGATTTTTTTTTGTTCAGGGAAATTTCTGTTGGGATAGAATAAATCCATTCAATAAATGATCAAAAATAAATTGATTACAACTTTTTAAAATATTGACAGTAGTAGTCTACAGCCATGCCACCCTGAACAAGCCCGATCCCACATGATCTTGGAAACTTAAGCAGGGTCGGGCCTGGTTAGTACTTGGATGGGAGACCACCTACGAAGACTAGGTGCTGTAGGAGCAAAAAATAAGGGATTGTAAGCTGACAAGGTCCTTGCAATCTGTGAGATCAACCAAGGGTTGCCTCGCCTAAAAAACAAACAAAAAAACGTAACTTGCTAAATAACTTGAAAAATAATATTTAATAGACAGTAATTGTTATTCACAAGTTTTTCCCTGCCTTTGCTTTCTCAATTCTTTTTTCTTGTCACCAGGGCTAATAAGCTGAATTACTATCAAGTTTCTCAAGGCTGAAATTTGTTTTATTTTGAAATGACTATTCTAGTTTTATCCATCCTGATCATTTTGAAGATCCTATGACTGGTCCTATCATAAAATATTTCAATTAATTCCATTTAAGATTACATCTAAAATTAATTACTAATAAGATAAAATCAACTTAATTACTTAAATTAATAAATTACATTTTGGAGAGAAAGATTTTTACATTGATTGATGGCTGTGATATCACTAAAATTCAAAACACATAGGAGGACCAGATAGAAATTGCTGCTTTTAGGTGTCATTTCTTATAACAAATTAGAATTAGGAGAAAAACTAAGGTTTGGTGGAAATTTATACTAGGTACTTTTCACTCCATATCTTATTTAATTTGTATGAATAGAGTTTACTAGAAAAAAAAATCTAGTTGATTCTTTTTATCTTTAACAGTGAAACTTGAACGCGAAGCTGAAGAAGAACGAATACGAAAACACAAAGCAGCTGCTGAGAAGGCATTCCAGGAGGGAATTGCCAAAGCTAAACTTGTCATGCGTAGGACTCCTATTGGTACAGATCGAAACCATAATAGGTAAGTCATTAAATTTATTTTTTGTCATCTTGTAGGGCCTTTATGTTTTTACTAGTTATGAAACCGTTTACAGTACTAAGAATAGACACATTTTTCTGTTCATGGATTTTGGAAACAATTGCTCATCACATTTATTGAATATTTACTATCCAAATGCTGGGGTTATAAAGATAAATAGGACATGATCCTGTCCTTGAAGATACCACAAATATGAAACTTAAATTATAGTGATAGGTGAAACATAAACCAAATAGAGGTCTTTAAAAATGGCAGTGCATTTAATTTTATTTAAAAATTTTTTTTTAGATGAGACAATCCTTGGTTGACCTCACAGATTGCAAGGACCTTACAATCTGTCAACTTACAATCCCTTAATTAATTAATTGATTGATTGATTAGTTAGTTAGTTTTTTGCTCCTACAGCACCTTGTCTTCCTAGGTGGTCTCCCATCCAAGTACTAATCAGGCCCGACCCTGCTTAGCTTCTGAGATCAGATGGGATCGGGCTTATTCATGTGGCATGGCTGTAGAAAGCAATGCATTTTAAATACATACATTGTATGGAAGCCGAAGTAGAGAAATATTAGAAGGTATAAAAATTACAGATATTAAACAAGTCTCAAATGTCAAAAATTTTGGTGTTTTTTGCTTTACTTTATAATTTGTATATTTCTGAATATTCAGTAATATTCTGTAATCATCTTCCCAAACAGTAAAGTCATTCTATGCTCATGATGTATTATTATGTTATTAATATGTGGTTGTGATTTGTAGATACTGGCTCTTCTCAGATGAAGTTCCAGGATTGTTCATTGAAAAAGGCTGGGTGCATGACAGCATTGACTACCGATTCAACCATCACCGCAAAGACCATCCTGACTCTCCTGATGAGGATTACTGTCCCCGCAGTATGTATATCTGTTAGTTATTTGACCCTGCTCAAGTAGGGTAAATGTTAGAACTGTCTTTCCTCTTTATCTTTTCCATTTGCAGAATTTCTTTATTGCCTTCTTAGGTAGATATATTTGAGTGGGGTGAATGGGTGTGAAATGTACAGAAAGAAGGGAGGAAACTAACATTTTGATTACCAACTTTGTTCCAGTCATAATGTGAAAAAATAAAGAGCTTGAAAACTACTCATGTAAAATTTAATTCCCAAACATCTCTAATACTTGTATTAGATTTTATATGAGTGGTTTTCAAACTTTGTCCCTCATAAATCTCTTTGTAGGTCCCTGAAGGGCTAGATTTGAGATAGTAGGGCTGTTAAGGCAGTTATATGTCTTCTTCCCCTTTTAGAATTCATTTATTCAATATTTATGGTGCATCTCTATGTGCCTACCAATTTTTCATGGGCAAGATAGCAAACAATACAGAAAAGGTTCTAAATGTCATTTACCTCAAATTCTAGTGAGGCAAAACAACAAATATCTAACTAAAAAAATAACTGAGAAAGGGGTCATGAAGGGGCACTAATATTATCCTGTTTCTTGATCTGGGTTCTGGTTACATGGATGTGCTCAATTGGTAAATTAAATGCAGAAATAGACTTTTCTAAATATATTTGTCAATATTTTATCTTGAGGTATATATAGAGCGTATATACATATTGACCTTTGAACAACACGGGTTTGAACTGTGCAAGTCCGCTTATATGTGGACTTTTTTTTTAGTAAATACTCATACTATTTCCATCACATGGTTGGGAGTCCACAGATGTGGAAGACCAACTACGCCATTTTTTATAGGGTACTTGAGCATCCTTGGATTTTGGTATCTAAGAGGGGTCCTGGAATCAATCCCTCATGGATACTGAGGGGAGTTAAGTTTTAGGGGAGTCAAAAGTTATGTGCAAATTTTTGATTGCATAGGGGTTTGGCACCTCTAACCTCTGTTGTTCAAGTGTCAACTATGTAATATTGCAAGGATGAAATTTAAATAAAAGTTTTTAATTAAATGGTTAGGTTAGATCAGGTTTTCTCAACCTCAGTTTTGACATTTTCAGGCAGGTAATTCTTTGTTATCCTCGAACAAAGGTGGTCCTCTGCATTGTAGGATATTTAGCAGCATCCCTGGCTTCTACCCACTAGATATCGATAGTGACAACCAAATATGTCTCCAGACATTGCCAGATGTCCCAGGGAAGGCAACATGGCTACCAGTTGAGAACCACTGGGGTTGGATGATCTGTAAACTTCCTTCTAGCTCTACTTTCTACAACCTAATAAAAATTGCTTTTCAAATATTAGATTTTTTTTTTTTTGAGAAATCTTTTCTTAAAACTTTAGTTTTCCTTGATTTTAGAGGAACTCATAATTCATATTTCAAACTCACAATATTGTTAAATAAGGAAATTAACATACAGCCCTAAACTTCAATTTAAGGTGTTTTCGTGTTGAATTATATTAAGTGTTAGATTGTAATACTTAGAAAATCTAGTTCTGGTAGGCTTTGTAAATACCCAGGTGAGGTCAGTTATGTTGAAGAGTAATAAATGGAAGTCAACGTCTTCAGACATAGAGCTTCCAACAAAATGAGAGACTGACTGTTTCTTGGCATCCAAATCCCTTCACTTGTAGAGCATCTGGTGTATGTTTTTGCTTCATGTTTTCTAGTTCCAACGTGGCAGAGTCTCTTTAAAATGACCTGACCAAAAAGGCTAAAAAAGGTTATATGTTAGTATTGCAGGAGAGAGAATGAGAGCAGGAGAGCAAACCAATTATATTAGGTAAGGCTTCAAGTAAAAGCCTAAGGTCTATCTATATTATTGCCATATATTAGTATAGAGGAACTGGTTTATAAAAAAGTTAATCATATCTGACATTTGAAGCTTCCAGGGATAAGTCTATAGTATATTCATTGTTGGATTTGGTGCTGTGTACTGCTTAGGTTTGAAACTAGGAATTGGATATTTACTATATTCAACCTAATTATAAATTTTTCTTAGGTAAGAAAGCAAACCTAGGCAAAAATGTAGGCATGAACACACAGCATGGACAAGCAACCGAAATCTGTGCTGTAGAGACCACCATACCCAAACAAGGACAGAACCTATGGTAATGTGAGCATTCATCTGGTTGCTCTTTCTTTTTCCTTTTCAGTGTTGAGAAAGTATTTAATATAATACCAGTGAGTTAATGATTTATCTCTTAAAATCATTTTGTATGACTTTGATTTCTCGGATATGTAAACTTACTGCTTTAAAAGCAGACTTGATTTTTTGATAAGGAAATATTTGTTTGTTCAAAGGTTTGAAATTTTGTTGTTTTTTTTTCTGCCTTGTAATTTAACTTTGTATATTATATGATAGCTCATACAGCATTGGAAATACTTTTCAGTCTGTTTGGTAATGGAAGTATTTAGGGTTTTCATTTTCATTAATTAAAGAATAAAAGTTATGTATATAGCCATTAATCTTCCTTTGTGTCAATTCTGCTTTTAGGCAGGGAGCTAGATTTTGAAAGGCCCTTTCTACTTTGTGACTGAATTAACTGCTTTAGCTATGATCACCTTTGGTATAATGACCATTTATCTTTTGTTGTTGGATATAAGTTTATACTTTGAAGGTGTATGGACAAGTGTACCTGTCAACCCATTTCCCAATTGCCCCGAGAATACTCACCAGTGGCACTAGTGGCTATAGCATTTACCCCAAGATAATTTGCGGATTATAGTCCTAACCTTAACCCCCAAAGTTTGCCGTGAAATATCTCGCTTTTATTATTTTAGCATTGCTCTGGTATATTGGTAGTTTTTGGAAACAAATGACATTGTTCTATTTGTAGCATTCTGTTTTTAGTAGTGGCATTTCCATTTACAAAATATAGTAATTCTCGATTGCTGAAAATGTCAAATCCTAGAAAATGTAGCATTCCTATGTGTGATGTTAACACCATTCTTAAGCAGTTGTTAGTTAAAGATTGATTTGATGGATCTGATTTACTTCAGCTTCAAAGAACGTGTTTATATAAAATTAAATGAACGCTGGCAGTAAGCTGCACTTTTTTCTACACGGGAAATGGGTTAACTTTATAAAATTTGTCTCGTTATATTTTACTAAAAAACATTGATTCCACTGTCCAAGGATAAAGTAAATGTTAGCTCTTAGAGAAATAGTAAATTCTTGTGAGCAAGTTTGGGATCCTGTTGTCCCAACTTCCACCAACTACCCTTGATCCTTTTTAGTGTTTGGTTCCCCACCCCCCAGAATTATTTAGGTCTGTTTTGCCCCTACAGGTTTTTGTGTGATAGTCAGAAGGAACTGGATGAGTTACTAAACTGTCTTCACCCTCAGGGAATAAGAGAAAGTCAGCTTAAGGAGAGACTAGAGAAGAGGTAAGGATTTTCATCTTGCTCCTTACATCTGTCTTCTCTTCAGCATTAGATATTTTAACTATCTTAGGTGAGCTTTTTTTTTTTTTCGCTGTCTGTAAAATCTATTAAATTTTAAAAAATGTCTGTAAGCCTTTTATATTCCTTTTGCTTGGTATTTGCCAAGGCACATCATGCTTATTTGGAAAAATGTGCTTTTAAACCATGTATATACAGGGTAGCAGAATTAGTCATTGAATAATGCATGCCATGTACCTCACTGAAAGCCTCATTGTAGTTAGGCTATCTTGCAAATGCAGTTCCACATTAGTTCAAAAGTATTCTGTTGGTATTCTAAGTAGCCAAAAAATGAAAACAACCTAAATATCCATCAGATGGATGGATAAACAAAATGTGGTTCATATGTCCATAAATTCAACCATAAAAAGGAATGAAGTACTGACACATGGTCGCTGAAACTAGAAAATATAATGCTGAGTCAGAGAAGCTAGACATAAAAGACCACATATTGTATGATTTCATTTATATGAGACATCCAGAATAGGCAAATCCATAGACAAAGTAGATTAGTGGTTGTCAAGGGATGGGGGAAGGGGAGAATTGGGAATGGTTGCTTAACATGTATGGAGTTTCTTTACAGGATGATGAAAATATTTTGGAATTAGGTAGTTTTGATGGTTACACAACATAAAAACCACTGCAAATGTATGCTTTAATATGATGAGTTTAATGTTACATGAATTACATCTCAAAAAACAAAAAAACCCAAAATAAAAACTGTTCTCTACAACATTAGCATCAGCCATCTAGATTTGCTAGTGTTCTTCCTGTTCTAGCCATTATTTCTATCAAAGCCAGAACAAAGTTTTGGGTTAAGGCCACCTTTAATTTCTGACTGTGCTTTCATGGTTAAATTTAGATTTGATTGAAGAGAGAAGGAAAATACTGTTCAGTATGTATTCTGGCAACTTTGCCCGACTTTTGGGAGTGGTAATGCGTGTATCAGTGGTAATGATTTTAGCCCACTGTTTAATATGTAAAATTATATTCTGAATCATGCTGTATTAATACAGATGTGACTAGGCAAATTAAGAAAGACAAGGGAAAATGTCAGTAAACTGAACCACGAAGGAATTCAGTTCTACAGTGTTCCTAATGTTAAAATTATTTGCTAGGCACATGTGTTAGATTGAAAGGACTTGTTCCATTCATTAAATGTGAACAGATCAAATCCTTCCATTAAAAGGTTTGAGATTGTCAGGATTAAAAACTTATACTTTTTTTCTTTGGTTTTGTTGAACATTAAAAAAAAACCTACCTTGTTTTGGTTTTGAACTACTTAAAAACTGTCAAATAGTATTTACCCTTTGGGACTTACTACTCTTTACTCAGCACTACAGAGCCATCCATTTTTTTAAATTGAGCGCCATTATTTTTTTTTATATTATTCCATGACGCTAATATTTGTGAATCTGCCCCCAATTTATTTATCTACTCTCTTGGTGGTGATTATTTGAGTTGCTTCCCCCAGGAAAGGACAAGGGGATAAGATAATGAGTCACCATATGAGGTTCAGATTCATAAAAATACATATGCTCTTTTAAGAAAATACATAAAGTGATGAAGGATATAAATTAAAGGGTGTACAGTCAGTTACAGCTCATTTAAAAAAAATCTTTAAAAAGTACAAAAAGATAACTAGGCCAATTGGAAACTTAAAGAAATAATTTTTTTTTGTTTGGCCCGTTGGACATTTATAGAAATTTATCCCATACTTAGCCACAGAAACAAAATCAACAGATTTAAAAAGTAGAACGCTTCAGGATACATTCTCTGATCAGATTACAATAAAATTAGAAATAAATTATTTAAAAAGATGGCTAAAAAGATCTTAACTGGTAATAAGTTAAATATATTCCTAGGTAACACGCAGATCAAAGAAAGAAATTAAAAAGGAAATTGTGTTGTATCTAGAAAACAACGAAAGGAAAATTCTTTATAAGAAAACCAATGAAACAATGAATTTGCATTCAGAGGAAAATAATATTAAAAACACTTATTATTTAGAAAGAATAGGGAACTTAGTAGTCAGATAACCTTTGAGCTTTAGTTTTAATTTTGGTGTAGGAAGCCAACAGTAAAGCTTATGGCCCAGCCCACTCAGGGTGGAGAGTCTTATTGGAGTCTTTTCCTGGGACTTCAGAGGGTTAATCTTTAGTGTAAGAGTGAACTTGAAGGTCCTTGTTTAGCTTTTCAGTTGAATCATGTATCTACTATGTTGTGAAGAATTTCAGGCAGATGATTTAAAGTTGTCTTGGGATGGTAGCAGTTTTTGGCAGCTGACATAAGCAAATGCACATTCTCTCTTGAGGAGCACAACTTCAAACCAGGCCTCAAAAGAATTCCCACAGATAAAATTCCCAGTACTCATGGTCAAAATGTTAAAAAATATACAAACTCCAGGTACCATGGATGAGAGCTAAGAATAACAAACCACTTCATATACTGGAATTTATCAAATATAGAGTAAAATGTGTTTTTAAAATGAATCAAGAATAAGAGAAATTTGAAAATGTGTGCAAGAAACATGAGATATTAAAAAACACCAGAGAGATTAAAAAGATCTAAATATGTCATGTAGAAATGAAACATGTCATTCAGGTAATTGAAATTTATAGACCATCTTCAAAAGTTTATTTATTACCCTTCCCCCTTGCCTCAACTTTTCTAGGTATCAGGACATTATTCATTCTATTCATCTGGCCCGGAAGCCAAATTTGGGTCTAAAATCTTGTGATGGCAACCAGGAGCTCTTAAACTTTCTTCGTAGTGATCTCATTGAAGTTGCAACAAGATTACAAAAGGGGGGTCTTGGTTATGTGGAAGAAACATCAGAATTTGAAGCTCGGGTAAGAACATACAAAGAAATCTGTTGCTCATGGAAACCCAATTTGGAATTGTTCCTTGATATTGTTTTTGACTTCCCCATATGATCCTGGAAATCATATGTTTGGGTCTGTCTTGAAAGACGTGTGTAGAACTAAAACTTCTCTATGTACTTAAGATATTTCTCCTTTCCTTTGTCATCTTCTGGTATCCAGAAAAATCTAATAGTTGGCTCAGAATCTTTGTTTAAAAAGAGGTTTTCTATTAAGTTGAATGAAAAACCAGTATTGGAGCCATAGTCCCATAACATTATTTAATATGTCTATTCCTATGTGGTGCCTGTGTTTTAAAGTATGACACATGTTTGTGTATCCTGTTTTTGTCCATTCTTAACACCTGGTGAGCTCAGTACAGTTATGCTTATGTTGGGCAACACTCATGCAGTTCGATGAGTCCATTTCAAGGCCTGTTTATAGTCCTGATGTTTACTGCTCAGTAGGACCCATAAGAGCCCCAGTGTTCCACTTTAGATAGGTTTAGGTGTCAAAGCTAGAACGAAGATTGGAGAATACTATCCATCAATTATTATTGCAAAGTGTTTTTTACTGATTTTAAAGAATAAAGTTCATTTCAACTTCACATAATATTTATGAGTCTTTTAAAATTATTCATGCATTATAGCATGTGTATTATAGTTGTGCGATTTTTATGAGCAGTTACATCTTTTCCCCCATTTTTTCTAATTTATAAACACTTTTTATTTATTTCAGTCTGTATCATTTTACGGTTCATAATAACCCATGGAGTTGATACGATTTTAAATCTTTTACTGTCAGAGTTTATATTTCTTTGCTATTAGAATTAGCGAATTATATATGCATCTTATATATGCATCTTTTTTCCTTTAAATTAGTCGGGTTATAAATTCTTGGTACATTTCCTGGGGAAAAGAATTTAAACATCTTTATGTTTTTTACATGATTTTTTGAAGAATTATTCAACCCAAAGCACTGCCGTTTTCAGATATTATATTTACTTTTTTATTTAGCAAATAATTGCCTACTTTGTGCCAAACCCAGGACCATACCTTGCTAACATTGGGTTATCATCATTCTTTGTGTCTCTTTGTGGTCATAAAATGGTATCTTTTAATTGGCAAGTCTTATGTGACTGAGAAGGTAGTGTTTGGCATTTAAGAGCATGATTTGGATCAAAGTGATTTAGCTTCCGTTTCCTCATTCATAAAATAATGTGAGGCTTAGATGAGGTGAAGTGTGTAAAGCATATTACTTGGCTTATAGTTTATAAGCCAAAAGGTCAGAAAATTTTTATTTTCTTTCTCAGTTTTTCTCTGCCTTGTGACTATAGCTTGCACATAATAGATACTCAGTTACTGAGTGAATGGATGAGTTGCCTAACTTCCTTAAGTAGGGCAAGTTTCAGCATCTTGTGGATCCCTTCGTTGAGGAGATGGAAGTAATCAGCTACTTTTAAATGCATAAGCCATCCATTGAACTGAAGAATCCAGATAAATTAATGTTATGTGACCCGTTGTGGTCTAGGTTGACTTGAATTTAGTCAAGGATAGTCTCCTTTCATTTTTCTCTTGGCCTTTCTCTCAATCTGGTTTTTAAACCAATTCCTGTAGGTGATCTCATTAGAGAAACTAAAGGATTTTGGTGAGTGTGTAATTGCTCTTCAAGCCAGTGTCATAAAGAAATTTCTGCAAGGCTTCATGGCTCCCAAGCAAAAGAGAAGAAAACTCCAAAGCGAAGATTCAGCAAAGACTGAAGAGGTGGATGAAGAGAAAAAAATGGCAGAGGAAGCAAAGGTATCTAGTTAATGAAGATGTAGTTTTATAACTGTTTAGAAGAATGTGATTTGTTTTTAAATAGTCTGACCCTATGCTACTGTAAGCACTGTTCCCTGAGCCAGTGTTCCATTTTTGTCACTTTCACTAAACTTTGTGGTTGCAGACTGGTCTGTGGAGCATAGCCCTGACTCTAGGGCTGGGTAATAGAATAGGTCAGAGTGTTCCCCTTCCACTTTACCAGAGCTGATTCCTTTTTTAAAAGGTATGGTAGTTCTTAAATTTTTAAAAAATATATACATAACAATTTAACATTTTATTCTTTTTAAAGAATAAATAATCACAGGTCTATGTCATTAGGGACATTCACATTGTTCTGCAACTGTCACCACCATCCATCTCGAGAACTTTTTCATCTTCCCAAACTGAAACTATGTTCATTATAAACACTAGATTATACCCGTCTTGTCCCCAACCCCAACCCCTGGCAACCACCTTTTTTTTACTGTGTCTGTATATTTCACTATTCTAGGCACATCATATAAGTGGAATCATAGAATATTTGTCTTTTTATGACTGTCTTAAGTTGTCTTAATGTCTTCAAAGTTCATCTATGTTGTAGCATGTGCCAAAATTTCCTTAAGACTGAGTAATGTTCTATTGTGTGTCTATACCACATTTTTTTTTTATTTGTCTGTGGATGGACACTTGGGTCACTTTCACTATTTGGCTATTGTGAATGATGCTGCTGTGAACATGATGTACAAATATCTGTTCCAGTTCCTACTTTCAGTTCTTTCAGGTATGTACCCAGAATTACTGGATTAAATAGGAATTCTGTTTAATTACTTTTTTTACGCCTCAAATTTTAATAAGATCCCTATACACACATTTATTTGCTACTAAAAATTGAAGTAGCACATCAAAAAAAAATTGTTGCAATTCAAATTTTTAAAAACCAGAGAATCTAGTTAATGTACCCTGTACTAATTACGCTCTAGCCAAACCACCCAGTGTTTTCTTTCTTACATTCCTTCCACATGAGTTACTTGCTTTTAATTCTTGATGTTGGGTTTCATCTTACTAACTTCAGGCTTCTAAAACACACTGGCAGTGTTCAAGACCTATTTAATGCTTCTTTGGGTCAAATAAAAAAGTGGAACTGAAGTATATTGAAGTCATTCAAATGCAGACTACAAAGATTCCTTATAAGTTACTGGTGTAAAAGTAGACAAAGAGATGCAAGACAAAAGACATCACAGAATTTACAAGTTATCAAAATATTGATAAACAGTCAATCCTAGCATAGATTAGCTTTCTCTCTGTTTCTCGAGGAACTGCCATAATGTCTTCCATAGTGGTTGCACTGTTTTACATTCCTACCAGCAATGCATGAGGATTCCAATTTTTCCACATCCTTGCCAACATTTGTTATGTTCTATTTCTTTTGACAGTAGCCTAGGGTGCAAAGTGGTATCTCATGGATTTGATTTGCATTTCCCAAATGATTAGTGATGTAGAGCATCTTTTCTTGTGCTTCTTGGCTATTTTCTATCTTTGGGTAAATGTCTGTTCTAGTTCTTTGGCTATTTTTTAATTGGGTTGTTTGGGTTTTTGTTGTTGAGTTGTATGGTTCTTTATGTTATCTGAGTAGTAATCCTTTATCAGATATATGATTTGCAAATACATTTTTCCATTCCCTGAGCTGCCTTTTCATTCTGTTATATACTGTCTTCTGATGCCCAAGAGTTTTAAATTTCGATGAAGTTCACCTAATCTCTTTCTTTTGTTGCCTTTGCTTTTGGTGTCATGGTCAAGAAATTAGTGCCAAATTCAATGTCATGAAGCTTTTCCCCTATGTTTTCTTCAAAGAGATTTATAGTTTTAGCTTGAACATTTAGATCTTTGATCTATTTTGAGTTAATTTTTGTAGGTAGTAAAAGGTATGAGTCCAACTTCATTTTTTTGTATGTGGATATTCAGTTTTTTAATTTTAAAAGTAGCATACTCATTGTAAGTAAACCAAATGAGAGAGGTAAGTAAAATATGAAACAACTTCCATTCTAACTCTACTCCCTAAGAATATCACTCTCTAATAGTTTGATTTATTTTTTATATACATACAAAGATGAGTTTGTTGGATCTTTACAGAATGGAATCCTCTGCATAAAGTTCTACGGTTTTTCTACTCATCAGCATATCCTGAGCATCTGTCCCCTCTCCCTGTGAGTCCATGTAGATCTACCTGATTGTGTGTTTGTTTTTTTAACATCTTAAATTCCTTACTGATGAATATTATGTTGATGTTGTCTCTGATTTTTCTTTATTAGCAGCTCTGTTGTTTTTTTTTGTTGTTTGTTTTGTATTAGATTTCTGCTTAAGATTACTTAAGAATTTGAAAACAATACGCTGAGAGGTCCCAACTATTAGCCAAGGGAATACTTTCCCCTATTTTTGATTTCTCTCTCCTTTTCTCCCTCTTTTCTTCTTTGACAAACAACTTGTAAAGATTTGCCTGCGCCAGTCACTGTGATAACTCTGGAGATTATAGTGATGAGTAGAAGCCAAAAGTCTGTCCTCAAGGAACTCAGTTTGAGTGTGAGAGATGGTTATAGTAGTGTGACAGGTACTGATGATGAAAGAGCAGTACTTGGCTCACCTGTGAGGGAGGGATACCTAGGGCAGATTAGAAAACTTCCCAGAGGTGAGAACATATCAGCTAGGTTTTGAAGAATAAATTGGAGTTAATCAGTTCATGGCCGGGGGCATAGGCTTTGATAGATTGAGCTGAACTTGGCCTTCTTGTTATTGACAGCTGCCCTCCCAGTTTACACCGACTAAGTCTACTCCCCAAAGCTCCTCAGTTATTTGAAACATTGTTGTCATGTTCCCCTGTTTCTTCTTCCTGAAGCCAAGGGTGATATATGATACAAAGAAGATTGTTTTGGGGAAGAGGTAAGCGGAGAACTTAGACTCAGATAAAGGTTTAACTATTAATTCATAATGTAACCTCAGAGACTTCACACATGTCATTATTGTACTAGGATTTGGTTCTTACTTCAACGCGTTCTTTTTAATGATTATATGGCATCCAGGTAATTTTCTAGATGAAATCTAAGACATTAGTTGCTTAAGTTTCCTTGCTAAATCTCTTCTCATTAGGCATAATTTCTGGCCTCGATGAGTACGATGTGGGTTTTATTTTTAACTCAGTTTTATACAGAAGAGTCTTTCTTGATGGGACCTTTCTTTGCCATTTCTTTACCTGTAAAGCTTTCTTATTGAGAACTAATAGACGTAGAATTCTGATTGATTGTTTGTTTGTTTGTTTGTTTGTTTTAGTATTTAACCCCATAGTGAAGCAACCTCTTCTTAGCTTGTCATATAAAACTTTATTCTTAGTTTGATTGGGGAAGAAAATACGAGCACTTTTTGCAGGTTTAACCTTGAGGCCCAGACACACACTATACAAATGGAAAACATGGGAGAGTTTCTTGGAAAATCAATTAGGTTGCCTTTTGAGTAGTTTAGCAGTGTTCTTCATTAAAATGACATTATGCCCTTTAGTTCTCCACCGAAGGTCAGCTTTGCCACAGCTAAGAAATTTTCCGCTGTCCTTTGCTTAGAAGGTTTCCACTTCACATGAGGCCAGGGTTTTTTCATCCGGCACTACTTTCTTGCATGAGCTAATATTTATCTCTAAACTGGGCATTAGTTTTCCTTGTGCATAAAAGTAGATTCTCTCTGAAATCTCTTTTTGTAATAGTTGATGATTTCAAATATTTACTGCTTATTTTATTGTGTAAAATGGGAAAGACATTAGATAATTTGGCAAAATCCTGGGTTCTGTTATGTTCTGGATGAATTTATCCTGACAATCTGATTATCTGTTTTTCAATTTTATACATTCTTTTGTGGAAGAATATAGTCCGAAGCCTCATATTTTTGCCAAGATATTATGCTTCCTTTTTACTGTTAAGCAAAGGGATTAACGGTGATTTGCATATAAACTGGCTTCCTCTTGATTCTGTTATACCCACTTCTAACTTGAGACCACCTTTATTTAAACATACTAGAGAATTTGGATTTTTCACCAGAATATTGTATCTAGCCTCCTAGTAGCACAGCATGACAGAGAGTATTTACTGGGTGCCACCAGTGTAAAATGTCAAAACTTTATCTTGCTATTGTTGACCTGTTTTTAAAAACGCTGTCTTGAATATGGTAGGTTTTTTGTTTTTTGTTTTTTTTTAATGTGTTGGCCTGTTTGGAATTTTGTGCAATGGGAGAAGACTAGGATGTTCTATCAAGTTATGTGCCTAATGTTTTTACCCTCAGTCTCAGCTGGTCTAGATGTATATAACTCAGTGTGTATAACAGGATGGGGATGGGGATAAATTGGCCCTAAATTGCTATGAAACATTGGACAAGCTTTCTTTCCACGAAAAATAATAAGCAAACATTACACAAATGTGCACAAACATTCATAGCCAAAAATGGAAACACGCCAAGTGTCCATCATGATTAATGGATAAACAAAATGTGATATATCCAAATAATGGATATTATTCAGTAATTAAAGTGAAATGAACTATTGTTGCATGTTGTGATGTGGGTGAACCTAGAAAACATTATGCTCAGTAAAAGAAGCAGTCACAAAAGCCTACATGTTATATAAAATGTCCAGAATAGACAAATCTATAGATTGAAAGTAGATTAGTAGTTGCCTAGGGCTGGGGGAGTGGTGGGTTAAGGTAGGGAATGGGGAATGACTGCTCATGGGTACAGGTTTCTTTTTGGGGAGATGAAAATGTTCTGAAGTTAAGATTATCTTGATAGTTGCACAACTCTGTAAATATATGAAAAACTATTGACCTGTACACTTTCATATGCAAATTTTATCTCAGTAAATGTTTTAAAAATGAAATTAAATAAGTTTATTTCCAAGATCTCTTCCAGTTAATAAGGCCAGGTGAGCTATTGAGAATCCAGATTTATAATTTATAGGAAATAACTTCAGGAAGTAAAAAACAGTACTTTAAGCTGATATGACTTATTCTTGAATACTTATGTACATCTGACTGTCCACTAGATGACAGCAAAGCCCATTTTAGTCACTCCCTGCCTTTTTTCAGTTGTACTGTTTTTAAGAACTGAACCTAAAATCTTAAAATTTATATTTCATTGAAGAGACTTCGGTCGTTATTACATTAAGAGAGTCTTGGTACCATATGGTAGCTCTGTTACATTAGGGGAAGAAGACCAGTGAGGCAGCTGTCATAATGAACCTCACGTTTTACTGAGGAGCTCTGGACAGAGAAGGAAGGAAATTATTCTGTATTTCAAAGGCAGATGTTGAAATATCTGTATTTGCAGGTTGAATTAAGGAACGAGTCAGTTTCCACTACACCTTAAGCACCCTCTTAAATAGAGTTTTTTGGTGTGTTTATATTATTCTTGTTATTCATAAATTTATACCTGCAAGACTCTCTCTGATTCTCTGTTTTTGTTGAAAAGAGAAAGGACAGCATTAGTTTTTCTTCCTCAACCTTCACACCACAGCTTCAGAAGTCACTTGCTGCTTTATTTTAAAGCCTATGGCCTTCCAGGTTAACTGGCCTTTCATGTAGGAGGAAGACTGTTTTACTTATTATAGATCTCTTTGCTTGGGGCAAGGGAGTGAAATCCAGCACTGGTGGTGTCTGCCGAATGGTAAAAGCAGCAAGGGTTGCTAACCTCAGTCATGACTGAGGTTAAGCAATATGACTTCCACAAGGTTGATGATACTAAGATAACCTAGCCTCTCTGCTTTTGGTGAGTTGCCTAAGTTTTACGTTTTACTTTGTCCATCTCTCTTGTGGTTTCTGACTGAGAATTGTATCCCCCACATTAGCGTTTGTTTACAAGGATGCTCACCTAATCATTTAGGCAGGAAGTGCTTTGAAACATCAAAAACACTACCTTTTGACTAATAAAACAGTAATAAAATTAAATGTGTTATCTTAAAATGGTATTTCTCTTTCTCCTTAGAATGTATATTTTATAGGCAAGAAGGTTGTGTTTATTGTCAAAATTCTTGATTATATTTTCTGCCACCCTCACTATGTTTTGCTTGGCTGATTCTGAATTAATTGCATTTTCTGATGATTGAAAGTGGTAGTGCAGGTTATACTGAGAGTAACTACTCAGAATGAAGTCAGGCTAACCCCTGGGACTTTACATTTTTCACCTCAAGTCAAGATGGATATTTTATATCAGTACTTAATACTTTTTTAGGGCTGTAGAATACTTTATAGATATTATTTATTATTTCTAGGCCCTGTAATCTGGGAGTATGTCATGTTAGTGTAGAAACTGATTCTTGTTAACCAAAGTTCTATTAGCTATGTGACATTGTTGCATACTAGCATTTAAACAAGTGTTCTTGCTTTTAAATGACACTGAATCCTTAAGGTGTTTTCACTAGAAGAGACCTGTCTCTAGTCATTTACTTCCCCCCACCCTCCTTAATTCTTTGTGTGACCTTTGGCAAGTTTTTTTAACCCTTCAGAACAGTGATTTCTTCTATAAATGAGTTAGACTGGAGGAGCTCTAGGAGGTAAATGTACTCAGAATGCTCTTGTATCTTTACCTGTTCCTAGTCCTCTTTCAATGTACTCTTGTCAGTATTATGTGAAAAATTCATGTCTTTGAGGTCATTGTAGTAATGCTGGCCTGATTTGGTCTCTGTTTAGGTTGCATCTGCTCTGGAAAAATGGAAGACAGCAATCCGTGAAGCTCAGACTTTTTCCAGAATGCATGTTCTACTTGGGATGCTTGATGCCTGTATCAAGTGGGATATGTCAGCAGAAAATGCTAGATGCAAAGTTTGTCGAAAAAAAGGTATATTTAGATTAAAGTTGCTTATCTGAGTATATTGGGGACTAGGACTTCCATTCTCCAGGTCTTTTCTTCCCTAAAAAATTCTGTGTACACAGAATTTAAATGTGGGACAGATTTTATTTTCTGAGCTATAAAGTGCTAGTCTTTGAAATCACATGCCAGCAAATCAAACCAGGCCCTTTGTTACTCAATTTTGAATATAAAAATAAGAGCAGTTGATCTCTCTAATCTTTAAATTTTCTACAGGTAGCAAAAATAGTTAACCTAGACATTTTAATTCCTTTTATCATCTATGAATTTTAGTTATTTGTGAAGTAAGAGGGTGCTACCAACAGAGGGCAGTACTTGTACATTGTGAAGAATACTCAGGTTTGGGCTTTCCAGCCCTGAGTCCTCCAAAGCAAGGCATTTGGGACTATTTAATGCTGATAGCTTTCAGAACTCAAAATGTGTAAAAGGAATTTCATGGCTAAAAGCCTTCCTCAGTGATTGACTCTCCAGTGGCTGAAGTTATCTTGTGAATTAGGTTAGAAATTAATTTCCAAGAATGAAAAGCTCTGTATAAAATCATTCAGTTGCTTTAAAAACTGACTTCTAATGACAGTTGGAGAGAGGAAATGACCATATTAAATTGGTTCAGTGTATTTTCAAATGTAGAGAAACCAAGTGTTTTAAGAAAACCATATTAGATATGAGTTGGGAAGTGTTTAGGAGGTCCAGGAGGAGGAAGGGCAGAAAATATAATATTTCATGGCGGATTCATTTCTTAGTGCCAAAGGAGCAGCAATATTTCCTGCCATCATTTGGTTTCTGCTGCTACTTAGTAAATATTAACTGCCCTGTCCTAGGCCTGGATAGATTTTGGGATATGAGTCAGAAGACCTAAGCCCTAAATTACACACGATCTAATTTGTGCTATATTTCTTTTCAGAAAATGACTGCATTTTTAAAAAAATGGAGTAGCACTATACTAGAACGTTTGTTCTTCATTGGTGTTGAAGGTGAATGGCTCTTTCTTAACTCCTTGACTGTTGCTATGCTCCTGACAACGCTATACAATTTTATCTCCTTGCAGGTGAGGATGACAAACTGATCTTGTGTGACGAGTGTAATAAAGCCTTCCACCTGTTTTGTCTGAGGCCAGCCCTCTATGAAGTACCAGATGGTGAGTGGCAGTGCCCAGCTTGCCAGCCTGCTACTGCCAGGCGTAACTCCCGTGGCAGGTGAGAATTTCTTCTTTTAAAAATGAATAAGTAGGTGTTAAAATTAGCTTCAGTTATTCAAATGGAATGATTCTAAGGACCTTTAAGTTCATCTTTGGGTATAGAGCCTACTCATTAAGATATTACAATAGGAGCTCAAAGGGCTCTGGTTTAATTTTAGCTTAATGTTGACATTTCTACTTTTTCCTAACAGCCGTGTTCTCTATCTTCTTGACCATGCCTTCTAAAATAACTATTTTCCTCTGCTTTGCTTTCACTCTGTTTTTTAATTTGTGATTACTTCTACAACCACCCACTGCTAAAAATCCTGCTAAAAATTACCTTTCTTATCCATTCCTATTATTTCCCTTCCTTAATCATGATTAGAACTTTGGTGTCAACTTAGACATCTTTCTCTCCCTCTTCTATAGTCATATGCATTTGCCAGATGTTATCAAGTCAGCGTCCAGATGTCTAATGAATAAATCTCCTGCTGTCCATTTTCCAAGATCCTTGTTGTCATTCGGTCCTCTTACATCTCTCACCTGGGCTTCTTCATTGGCTTCTCAACTCTTTACCTAATATCTTTCTCCCTTTTATCCTTCCAGCTTTTGTGGTGGTACCAGAATGGTTTACATAAAGCAAAGAAGGATCTGCTTAAGTTACTTTCTTGTTCAAAAATTTCAATTTTTCCATTGCTTCGTCAATAAAGTCCAAACTCCCTAGCCTAACTTTTGAGACTCTTGTTATACAATACTGACATATGTTTTTATGAGCCTTTGTTCACATATTTGTGTGCCTATTACAGACTGTTCATTGTATATCCTTGATTCTTGTGTTTTCCTCCCAAATGGGAGTATTCCCTCTTCTCAGAACTCTCACCTGGGTAAACTGGCCACGACCTACCGAAAATTTCACTGCTCTTTTGAAATGTCCTTACATCCGTAGAATTAATTGTTCCTCCTCTGTGTTCCCACTGAATTTTCGATCTCTAAAACAATGTTTTGTTGCATCTTGCCTTTATGATTAGTTTTATACACGACCATCTTCTCATGAGATTGTTAGTGCCCTGAGAGTAGAGGTGGTGCTTTGTTCTTTGCCCTAATTCCAGTAAGGCCAAACACAAGGCCTTGTAATGAGGAGGTACCTAATATTTGCCAAGTTAATACTGTTGTTTTTCACATTGAAATTTAAGGTTGTAAAAGGGCAGCTTATAGGCACCCTGGCTTGGTTTCTCTTTGAAAGGGCAGAATTGTTTGATCCTGACCCCACCTAACAGTATTACTCGGTTATTTCTCACTCCATTCCAGCTACACTTAGAGAGATGGGGCATGCTACTCTGAAATGGTGGGGCTTTGGACCAGCTGTTCTGAGCTGGGATTACCATTGCTTTGATGTTATGGTCATCTGCAAGCTGTTTTAGCTCCTGGAAGGGGGCCATCAAGGTGGAGTAACACCTGTCTGGGCTTTTATTCTTTCAGTCCACCCCAGAGTTGGGGACACATTTTAACATCTGAAATGTTACGTTATCTGGCTGTTTTTGTGAGATAAAAGGAATAAGAATTTTGTATTGTTTTGTGCGCAGAGGGGGTGGAGTTGCATTTTGATCTTGAGTTCTGTTGCCATTGGTATCTTAATCAAAGCACTTGGGGCCTGGTGGAGAAGGTATACTGTCGAAGCTTAGTTTTTTATTCTGTTTCCTGTGTCATGGCCTAGATTCAGGCTCCCTTCCCTCACAATAAAATCTGTCTAGTTTGAGAAGAAGAAAAAGTTGCTAGAATATCTATGGGACTTTATTATCCCCATAGGAACACTTTGACCTAGAACCATGTTCCCTACATCCTTTTCACCTCACAGGAATTATACTGAAGAGTCTGCCTCTGAGGACAGCGAAGATGATGAGAGCAATGAAGAGGAAGAAGAGGAAGAAGAAGAAGAGGAAGAAGATTATGAGGTGGCTGGTTTGCGATGTAAGTATTCAGTTTACCTTCTTAGTTAACCACACAGTCTTTTTAGCTTACTTGGAAAGACTGGGTTGACTGGCAATACATATTCACCGTTGCCATCGTGTCATTTTCCTGTGGCTGTTCTTGTGACTCCACTGCCATGGTTTTAAATGGTTTTCAAAATGCGTGCCATTTAACTGCCTTCCTAGTAGGAGGTTGGATAGCTTGGTCTCAAGAATATCAATTTATGGCAGATCCACTTGGTCCAATAGTTAGTGGAATTCAAGGTCCCAAGTATGTTTTATAACAAGTCTGCTAGTTCTGAACCCTTCAGTGTCTGGGGACAAAGGATAAAAAAGGTCTAGGCCCATTGCCATCTAACAGTTCTTTTGGCCTCTGGTGTAGTGCTGCTTTCAGAGAAGTTATTTTTTTCTCTGGTTACAGTGATTTTCTCTTCCTTATAGTGTGCAGGGCTGTAGCTTTGCTGGTTTGAAAAAGGAATACTGGTTTTCCATGGTTTAGGTGTAAAGGCTTTAGAAAGGTTCAGATTTGTTTGGCACTAGGTGCCAATATGGGGAGAAAAAAACCCTTTTCATTTACTCTCACCTCATTGACTATTATTTTCATGTTTATATTTAATGAGTCTGAGAGTCTTATTGTGACGGTTAAGCCTAAAGTTCTGCAGTCTACCCCTTTCAACAGCTCTCCTCTTTCCAAAATAGACCCTTTGTACATTAGTAGAAAAGAGACCATGGGTCAAGATTTTGATGAGCTTTTGAAGAGATGGTTCAGTTCCCAAGATCATAGCACTCTGAACACTCAGACTTGGTAAAAGGGGAGAGAGAATAGAGAATGTTTGGCATGACCAGTCTCTTATTGCAGTGGTGCTGCCAAAACCTGAGGCCTTTGGATTTGCACACCTGCTCCCGTCTCCCCAGTCCCACAGGCTTTTAATTTGAGACACCTCAGTTTCTCCCTTTCCTGTTGGGCTCCTTTTGTTTGTTCACGAGGCATGATTTTCCAGGTATCCGGGGTGAGGAGATAAGCAGTCCATTAACCCTGCATGACATAGAGGCTGGCGTCTGCTGGCATCTACTGGCCAGGAGATGAGATTCAGAGGCACGTTTATCTGGGAACAGATTCTGAATATAGTAGTGTGCTGATTTATTTCTTTTCAAACTAATCGTTGCTTTCCACTTCTGTGTTGTTGCTCTTTCCAAAGAATTGTTTCCTTTCCAGGTTCAGGGGCTTTGTTTGCCAAAAGAATTTAGGAAGTATTTGGTACCTCAAAGCTTTTTGTCTGCTCTGCCTTTTAGGCCACCAACGATGTCGTTCCCTAGTACAACTCTAGTCAGTGTGTTGGTGGCTATCCTTAGCATCCCAAATTTCATCCTTGATATCAGCTTCTTACTCTTTTCCTAGGCCGTTCTTGAGCTAGAGACCCTAAAATAGCCAATGGAGGGTTATCATGGTCCAGAAATAGAATATCGAACATTGTTTATTAATTTGTTGTATTATCGCCTCTGTATACCTCTGTCTCTGTCCAAATGTCACCTCCCAACTTTCCAGGGAAATTTTGTTTTGTGGGGAAACCTTGAGTTAATCTTTATGGAGCACTGCTTCCTAAGAAAATGTTGGTTCGTCTAACATTGAGCACCTATTATAAACTTGAGACACCTCAATTTCTCCCAAGTAGTCTTGGGTGCTTTCGTGTTCTTTATTCTCTTCTTGGGGACGCTGGGTGGTTTCTTATGGAAGCGACCGACTGTCTATGGTTTTCAGAAATGCAAGGAAGCAGGACCTGGGCTAGCCTTAAATTGAATTCAGTGAAGACTTCGCATAAGTATTTCACATAAATATCAGCTTTTCTCTGAAAAGATTGCGATGGTGAGTTTAGGATAATTGGGAATTGGGAAGCAGGATCTCTTCTACAATCAAATTCCTCTCACATGTAAATACATTATACCATCTCAGGTTGAACTTGAGCTGTAGGAAAAGGCCTCTCCTCAGTCAGTTTACAATCGACTCCTTCAAAGGCTTCATTCCCTGGAGTAACTTGAACAGGGTAGGGCCAGAGGATAGAAGTACTGAAGGCACTGACCTTCTGAAGAGACTCTTAAAAGGTCTTTGGCAGTTGATGAAAGGTATCCATTCTTAATCTATTACTGCTACCTTTAAAGTGCCTTGTTAGGTAGGGTAAAAGATAAATAGCAGAGTACCCTGTAACTCAAGGAAGCCATTGCTTTGCTTGTCCAGATTATCTTCCCATTCTATAAACATGCTTCCTTTATCCTCATTTGTTCTCCTATCAGTCCATATTTTTTTTTATTTTAGTGAGACCTCGAAAGACTGTCCGGGGCAAGCAGGGTGTCATCCCCCCTGTGGCAAGGCCAGGCCGACGACCAGGTAAGAAGCCACATTCAACCAGGAGGTCTCGGCCGAAGGCACCACCTATGGATGATGCTGAGGTTGATGAGCTGGTAAGAATTACTTATCATCCTGCCTCTGATGTTTCTGTTTCTTACCCTCCACTCCAGCATTAGGAATTCATCTGGCAACAGGTGGGAGCCTTCCCCTCTCCTCCCTCCTCCCTAACTTTGGAGAGAGGCTGATGGGTGGGCCTATAGGCAGACAGAGGCAGCAGGCCCTCCAGGAACAGCTATGCCCGGCATTCCCCTGCTGTAGCCTGCAAACATTGTCTCCTCTAGTTAACAGGCAGCCTGTGACTTGTTAAGGATTTTAAAATAGTATCCATGTGTCTCCAGTGGCTCATAGGGGCTGGGTCTCCATTGTGGGAATGTCAGCAATGTTGGAGCCTCACTCTTGAGTCTTTTGCTGACAGTTGTTATGGGAGGGACATTTCTCTCCCTTCTGCTCCTCAACTAATGTGATTTTAGTGGTTTTGCTTTAGATTTCACTTAGGCTTTAAAGAATAAAAAGAGGCTCTTGAAAACGTGCTTGTTTTGACAGATCAAATTAGGGTTCGGGGTGGGTTGGAGGTGTAGAGCAAGTCATTAGGGAGCTCAAAGGGAATTAAGAGATTCTCCCACTTGCCCAGCTGTAATTCATTTAAGTCTGTAGCTCCTACCCCTGTGAGTTACAGTCTGTTATGGCTACCTGAAGAGAGGCCCCACCCCTTTTCTCCTTAGCCAGGAGAGCCCAAGAAGGGAATTGTACCTTTTGCTTTTCTTTTCTGAGACTCCCTACCCCCACAACATTGGCTGCTGTTGGTCCCCATAACCCATCTGGCTTTCTGCAGTTGCTTGTTTATAACCATCCATGGAGTTAACCATAATCCCAGGTCCATCTGCTCTCAACAGGCTAGCGTCCTGTTGACAGTGGCCTTCTATAGCTGACCTCTAGCAGGACTACTATAATATGGCAACTGCTGCCTGCCCTCTGCTTCTTCGATTACCATCCATCAGGAAGGAGGCAGGGGGGCTGATGGGAAGATGCCTGTTCCCTAGCTGAGAGGGTTCCCTGTCTAGAAAGTCAGATGATTTTGATCATCTCTGCTCCTAGAAAGTGTTCGAACTTTTTCTCTCTTTTAAGCAGATGCACACATTTTTTGGCCTGTCCAAAAAATGTCTTTTCTTGGACTTGTAATAACAGTCTTTTTCCTTTGGCACCAGGTGCTTCATACCAAGCGGAGCTCCCGGAGGCAAAGCCTGGAGTTGCAGAAGTGTGAAGAGATCCTCAACAAGATTGTGAAGTACCGCTTCAGCTGGCCATTCAGGTGAGCTTTGTGTTCTCAAGCACAGAGGAGTAGGACCAGCCTTGCAGCTGGTTGAGGAAGTGCTCAGCTGAACCCCTAGGACATGTCTCAGAGCCCGGGGATTAGCATTCCAAACCTGTAGAGATAGCTCTTAGGACAAGGTGAACATAGCTTTATGCCTGCCAGCTGGCTGATCTCAGCAGGGGTGCGCATTGTGTGGCTGGTGGTTTGCTAACAGAGTTTCTGTCAGTTGTATTCAAGGCCGTGCTCATATCTCCATTTGGTTCTTCTCCACAGGGAGCCTGTGACCAGAGATGAGGCTGAGGACTACTATGATGTGATCACCCACCCCATGGACTTCCAGACAATGCAGAACAAATGTTCCTGTGGGAGCTACCGCTCTGTGCAGGAGTTTCTTACCGACATGAAGCAAGTGTTTATCAACGCTGAGCTTTACAACTGCCGAGGCAGCCATGTGCTAAACTGCATGGTGAAGACAGAACAATGTCTGGTGGCTCTGTTGCATAAACACCTTCCTGGCCACCCATATATCCGTAGGAAACGCAAGAAGTTTCCTGATCGGGTTGCTGAAGATGAAGGGGACAGTGAGCCAGAGCCCATTGGACAGTCCAGGGGACGAAGACAGAAGAAATAGGCGGGGCCCTGGTAAGGGAGAGGGAGCTGAGGTTGGGGGAGTCGAGGGGAGAGCAAGGGAAGGGTGGGAGAGGCAAGAGAAGAAGACAGAGAAGAACGTGGAAGGGAGGAGATCACAGGGAATCCAGAAATGCTTGTCATCCCAAGCCTGCGTTGTTTTTCTAAGACTCTCCATAGGGCCTTGATCAAGCAGAGTTCTTTGGAGAGCCTAGGTAAAGGTTGGTGGTCTCTGCCTAGAAACATGGGTGGTAGATGGCCTCCACCTCCCTTTATGAAATTTTCCAGGAAGAGCCCAAGGGTATGGCTTTTCTTATGAACCCAGTTCCTTTTCCTTTCTTCTTTCCTAAGGTCCTTTCCCATTTTGGCCACCACAATAGTACCAAGCCCTCCGGTCTCCAGGGTAGGGATTACTATATTACATAGAAGAATCAAGTGTAATCGGGCCAGTCGGGGAGGTGGTGTTGATTTTTTAAAATCTATATTTATATACAGTCATGTTTCTTTAAGCTCGTACTCTGTCTCTTCCTCCCTCTCCCTCTCAGGTGACGGTATCAGTGAGTGCCATACAGAATTCTGTATTCACCAGCATCATGAAACATTTGTACTCTTTTGAGTTGATCTTGGCAGAGTAAAGGGACATGTCTTGGAGCCATTCCTGAATATTCTTCCCCTCTTTGTGACAATTCTCTTACCATTCTTACCCCACTTCACCCCCTCAAAAAAACAGACAAAATTAAAAAAAAACAAAAACAAAAAACTAAGGCACTTCACTTAAAGACTGGAGTCCTGCTTGTAATCATGCATATAACCTTTACTTTGATGGATCTGGCCAGTGGGGTGTTGGAGCCCAGCCCACCCACATACCAGACAGGCTCTTAGGGGAGCAGAAGAAAAGCAGGAAGAATTGAAATGTTTAATTTTTTAAAAATTGACTTTTCTAATTATTAAAAGTTGCTTGTTTCAGCAGTGATATTGTATAAAGAACATCTTGTAAAATATTTCTGTCATCTTGCTTTGGCACATGTACAGTACAATTTATATGATAATGTGTTTGCTTTCCATTGCCCTGTCTCCTCCCTCAGCCTATCCTCTCACCTTCAGAGAAGTCGGGTTGGAGGCTCATCAAAGCAAGCGGTGGGCCCTGGTAGTGGAAGGAGTGTTCTCCTGCCTGCCCTGGTGGCTGTTTCACCCTTCTCTTCCTCCGCCTCCATCCGCCTCCTCCCATGCCTTTCCTGGCCTCAGACTCTGTTCCCTGAGAACCTGAATCTTTCAGTGGTCAGTGTCAGTGGGAGGAGGGACAGTAGGAAAAGCTCAGATAGCCCCTTCCCACAATGACTCTAGTGCTAGTAGTTATATTTAGACAAAACTTTGTAGTCTTCTTTCCCTTTTATTGGCAGATTTTGATAAATGAAGAACAGGGTTTCATTTTCTTTTCTATCAACTTTGAATTTGGAATTTTGAGCACCTAGGTTCTTCTGTACCTGTTTAAATTAAGGAAAAAAGGATTCCACCAAAGGGATTGCAACTCATAGAATTTGAGAATAAAGCCTCTTAATATTAAACTTCAAGGTGTGGTCCATTTCCTCCCTGTCCTCATTCAAGGACTTTGGGGATTTGCTCTAGTGGCTGGTGGATAGGTTTACGCCCTTCTCCCACAGGCTTGGAGTTAGCACTGACATTACAATTTCATAAACCCAGCCGCCAATACTTTCTCCTGCCTCTTACCCTAGAGCCAGTCTATTCTTGTTAACAGTGAGACTCCTGTGTTCCCACTTCAGTGACACCTGAATTGTTTGTTGTTTTTTTAAAATTGTCTTTAAGGAGGAAGGGCCCCATTGAGGGGTAAACTTGTAATAAATTGGAATTTCAAATAAACATTATGTACTTGTGTTTATAAAGAAGAAAATTCTGGTGAGTCTGTCTGTGTGCTCTCAGGGGTGGTAGTGCATAGTATAGTCCCGAGCACTGTTTTCCCTTTGACTCTTGGAAACTTCTCCCACATCGAGAGGATTGGACTGATTTAGTCTTTTTAACCACAGGTCAGATTCAGCTACTCATTTCTTTGCTTCCAGGAGACATTTCTGGGTATCAAAGCGTGCCTTTCAAGTTTCTCCTGGCCTTGTCTCTCTCTCTGAAACCCCCCCAAATTTCATTTGAAACTTGTAGGAATTAGGGAAACGTATTTTTTAAGGCTTCACTATGGGAATTTATATAGTTTTTCAGGAGTTAATTTTGGGGAAACTCCTGACATTTCAAAACACTTTCAAGGAAAATTTCAAATATAATACCAAAAGAGTGTAAATGTAATGAATTCCCATGTACTTAGCCTCAGTACTTTTTCCACATTGCCGATTTTTTCTTTATACCTTCATTTATTTTTTTATTCTGGGAGTTTTTATAAAGTCTGAGTGGTTGAATCGAGTAAGTCACTGCTGTGTGGCAGCTTGCCTATGGACTTCAAAGATTTTGCAGAGCTACTGCATGATCCCATTGACTGAGAAGGGAAACTGCCAGTTCCTGACCAACTGAATTGGGGACATCATAAGGTAAAATGAGAAGTTTGAGAAGGAACCTAAGCCCTAAGTGCGGGTTCTGCCACTGGCCTTGCTGAATGTGGACTTTGAGCCAGGCCTGCACTGAGCACTCAAAGGCATTTTTAGTCCTGTAGGGGGATAAGCAGTTTGCCCCAAGGTCAAATCGAATTTGATCAGCCAGCCCTCAGGCTCTAGAGAAGGTAACTGCTACCTCTGAGCATTTTCTACACAATCACAGTTGGGCTCCCAGCCCACATCTATGCAGTCCTATCCCTCGGATGGGTTTCTTAGGACAGTGCCTGTGGAGCCATGTCACTTCATCTAGTGTTTGTATCCTGGTCCTATCTAACCTCAGCCCATTCTTCATACTTTTTCCCCAGGGGTGTGACCTTGGGGAAGCCACCTACTTTTGATTGACTACTGCAAATGAGGACAGGGGTCTGATCATTACTTACAAGAAGCAACTGAGTCCTTTGTCTTGACTACTGTTCTTTTTCTTCAAACCTTATCTCTGGGGAGGGGGCACAGTCAGGGTGGCAGTGAGGTGGTGTCTGAGTTCCAAAGCCGCCACTTTGATGGTGTGTGTCTCTAACTTTGCAGGGAGCCAGGGTCTTCTTAGGAGTAAGAAACTCAAGGCCAGGTAGGAAGAGAGGGTTGTCCTTCCATTACCGCTTCCATTACTACTGCCGAGGGCCTTCAGGCCTTTTTACACCCAGGACTGCCCCCAAGTCCTGGAATTTTCTCCAGGATGGGAAGGATAGCAGCTACTGATCTTCTCCCCGACCCTGGGGCCTCACCTCAAGTCTAACCTCAGTCAAGTTCATCCCCGCTGACTCCTATGAACTTTGAATCGTTTCCCTGGAACTAATACTGATGTCAGGGCTAAGAAGTTCCTTTAATTTGGGCCCTCCCATGCACAAGTTCAGATCATGTGGACATGCTGCTCTGAAACCCAAGTGCTGGGCCACCAGGGCCACTGAGGACAGAGTCTGGGGCTACACAAAGCAGGTATTGGTTTCTGAGGCATTTTGGAGCTCTGGAATTTGTTGGGGTGGGAGGGACTTCTCTGGATAAAACCACCCCAGGTTATAACACCTGCTGTCCCCGGGGAAGTGGTGGTGGTGGGGGCAGTCACATAAACTCCAGAGGCTGCAGACTGCCTGGCTGTGTGATCTTGAGCCAGCCAAGCCCTCCACTTTCCTCTGCCTGTAAAGTGGGGAGAGGAGGATCAAATGGAGGACTTCTGCGAAAGGTCTTTAATGACTTGTTTCCTTCTTCCTTTTCCTCCAGGGCCTGGGACTTTTCCATAGTGTCTTCCAGCACTGAGAAGCCTTAGTTGGCAAGGTCCACTCTCCCTCCCCAGTCCTGGCCCATGTGAACCATCCCAGCCTCAGAACAGACAGAGCCCCCTTGGGAATTTATGTAGTCCTTTAGCCTATCCTGACTGCACTGACCCCTTGTCCCCCAACCCCATCCCAGTTTTCCTAGAAGCCAGTCTGGTTTCGGCTGAGTGGGCCATAACCAAGGACCAACTCCTCCCCTGTCCACTGACTGGCAAGGAATAGGATGAAATGGTGCCACCTTGGTGCTCACCCTCCCCTCCACCCTTTGCCCCGTACACACTTGTATTTCTCTTCCTGTCTCCGGAAATCCTCTTTTTTTGCTCCAGCTGCCCTTGCCCTGGTGCAGGCCCTTAGCAGCTTCAGTTCTACTCCCTGCAAACCCAGCCTATAAGCCCAGTTTGGTGCAGCCACTGCCCTTCCCACTCCGAACCTGGGCCCCTGTCACCTTCAATAAATTCATCCTGTCTCCCCCAAGGACCCTTATAGGGAGTTACAAGGTGTTAGGGTCCCTTGGCTTCATTGGTCAAAGAAGGCACAGGAACCTACTGTGTGCCCTGTGAGAAGGGAAGGATTAGGATGGGGAGGGCATTTCACATGCAAGAAATGCAGAAGCAAAGGTACAAGGGTTGCAAAATTCCCCTGGGGGTCAATACTATTCCTTGTGAGGGACAGGCCTAAACCCCTCATGACTGATGTTGCTTGTGAGAAATTGACACAGCCTGTTCGGTTTTCATCTGGTTTCTTTCTTGTCCTGTGAGGTGGGTGGTTCATGCAGGGCAAGAGCTCTGGCCTGAGACCCTGGGTTTGGGGCCTGAGCCTTACCACTGAAATGAAGCCGTTGACTTCAGGCTTCCCTTGGTTCTAAAATCAGGATGGCAACAGGGTTAGATCCTTAAGGCCTCCTGTCAGTGACACTGAATGTTGCTCTGTGTCATAATACCCAGGGACCCTCATCTGGCTGGAGTCACAGTGGCTAAAGCTGAGGCCAAGATGGGGTCCTGGGGTCTGACTCCAAGCTAATGGGGGTCTCTGGGATCTGGCACACCGATATACCTGAGACCTTTTCCTATCCCCTGCACCTGCCCCATTACTCACTGCTGTTCTCAGCATCTCAAATCTTCCCACAGCCCTTTAGGGGCTGGGAGCCCAATTCTCACTATACTCAACAGCTTCCACTTTCATGCCCATTTCTGCTACCGTGATGCCCATATGCCACAAGCAGGTGGGGTGCCCTGACTAGCGTCCCAAGGAGCGAGGTGGATGCACCAGCAGTCTTCGAAGGTAATGAGGATGGTCAGACTCCAGCCTTAGGCCCCAGGAGGGGACAGCATGCTGGGCTACAGGAGGCAGTGGAAGCAGTTCCTGGACCTCCAAGGGAACTTTTGAGACAGACCAATGCCCTCATTTTCTACACAAATGAGGAAAGCAGAGTCAGAAAGTGAAGACTTACCCACGGCCCCCAAGCAGGCTAGATTCCCAGGGCTAAAGGTGGGGATGTCATCCCAGGGGATTCCTTGAGTATCCCAGCAGGCATCCTAGTCTCATTTTAGGAAGCAGGAACCCAGGCCTCGGACAGGCAAGCAGGTTACCAAAAGGAGCAAAGACAGGCAAAAGGGGAAACACACATACACACAAATCTGGGACTCCTGCAAAACACAGCTGTTCCAAGGGGATGACCTGATTGGTGGGGAGCCAGAGAATGGGAGGAGGGGGTGATCTCAGCAATCACCCCAGCTCTGCTCACAAGGGAGACTCCTGCAGAGCCCCCACCCTCCTAGCTTTTCCCTTCCCAGCCCAGAGAGGACGCAGCAGTGCCACACGGGGGTTTATTCCAGTCACAGCTTCCAGAGAAACTCAACAATAAATTACATCATTAAATAAACTCCCTGCTGGACCACATGCCCTTTTGCCCCCTCCTCCTCTCCACATGCTCCCCCAGGACCCTGTGGGTCCTCATCCAGGCAAATCCCCTGCACTAGGCTGTAGGGGAGTAAGCCTCACTGGGTCCTCACATGTGAGAGTTGAAAGAGAGTCTCCCCGTCCTGGTCCTCAGCCCCCTTGCACTTACTTGCCTGACCTTGACAGCTGGGCAGCTGCTAGTCAGCTGTCTCCTCCGGAGGAGGGGGTGCTAGGAAGGGACAACAGCCGCCCTTGTGCAGGCCTGTCTCCCT